GGCGGTTTAGTTTGGACATTAGGAAAAGGTTCTTCACCCCAGAGGGTAGTGGAGCATTGGAACAAGCACCCCCCCCGGGAGGTAGTCATGGCACCAAGCCTGGCAACATTCAAGAAGCATTTGGACAACGCCCTCAGACATATGGTGTGAATTTTGGGGTTGTCCTATGCAGGGACAGGAGTTGGACTCAGTGATCCTTGTGGGTCCCTTCCAACTCAGGATATTCTATGATTCTATGATTGCAGTGCAGTGCTGAAGTGATGTATGCAATGGAATCTGGGCCACAGCTGTATCCCAAAGGGATGCCTTGTGCTGGACAAGAATGGGGTGGGGATGAAACGTACTGTTAATTATTTGGGGTAGCCACATAAAATAGAAGTATGGATAATACAGAACAGATGAATTCAGCTCTAGGAGCACAGAGCGAAGAAGGCTCAGGACACTGCAGAATGAGGCATGGAAAGATGTCCTCACCAACACCATCTTCCCGGATGTCAAAGTGGGGCAGGGCTGTAAGAATTTCCTGTGTACCAGCTCCTGCTCAGCCTGGCTCATGCTTCACATGTCCCTGCACTGAAAACTCTGTTAATCCATTACTCAGATTGACATGGAGGCAGTCATGGGTGTTTTGAATAGGGAGAGGGCAGTCTCCATGCAGGAAACCTGGTCATGCTTCCTGGTACTAGCAGTTTCAGTGCCAATCCAAAGTCCCTGAGAAAGATAAGACTTGCACATCATCTTTAGAAATATCATGACTTCAGTACAATGTCTAAGAAATCTTGGATCTTTATTCAGGCTATGCTTTAATGTTATGCCTGTGATAGTCAAGAAATTGTTTTATGTGAAAGATCAAGATGTATATTTAAAATAACTGACTAGGTACGGTATATTATGAATATTACCACACTGCTGAAATAATTGGTGGAATTGTATGGAAAAGGAAGTGATGACTTGAACCTTATTTCTAATATTTAGATGTTATCACCAGTTTGGTATGACAATGACACGGGGGGAAACTAGCAATGTCCCTTTCTGGAACTAGCTGGAGCATTTACAGACATCTGTGCCCCCAGCGATTTATCACTGTCCAAGTGCAAGAAGATCCTTCCTCCAGATGTTAATGAGCATTCTCCAGCTGCTTCATTGCAAAGGCAGACAGGTTCATTTCACTGGCTTCTCCTGGTGGCCACCACCAGCTTATCAGGAGCATCAGGTTATTTGGTGAGTATGAACACAATACCAAAATGGGTCACTAGGAAGTAGTATTTCTAGAGCTGAAAGTTACAACTCTGTTCCAGAATGACATGGATACCATAAAATCCTTTGAATCTGACACAGGAACAGGGATAGTGTTAGCACCAGGGCTCACCTCCCATCTCTACAGTTTTGCACTAGTAGAGTGCTAAGTGACTTGGGATAAACTTTCCATCTTTGGAAATTCCCACCAGCACTGAGATAATAAACCATAAGGATTTTTTTGATAAACATGTGATAAACGTAGTGCCTTTTTTAAAAGGTATAAAGCCAGAATCATTTAACTGACAACCATTCAGCAACATGTATAACCACCTGTGAAATGAATCATGGTGGGGTCATCACGTGTAAAACAGAAAATGTCTGTTCAATAGCTGTGAGCCCTTACCAAGTGTGTTGAGGATATGTGTTAGTGTTTTGATATGTTTTCATTTACAGGCTTAAATTGGCCTCTGCTGAAGGATGAATCTGTTAGTTAAAGGCTGACAAAACACAGACAGTTTGGATCATTTAAGCCCTTTTGAGTCCCTCAGAGCAAAAACTTGGCAGTCTGAAGATTTCAAGATCTCATTTTTCCCAATTTATGTTGCTGCTGTTATGTCTAATTGTTTATAGCTTTTGTTTTCATCTTTGTTACTCGGTGCATTGCACCATGCTTTGGGACTTTTCTGTGTGTCAGTCAAGCACCAGAGTCTGATTTCAATACAGAAGTTCGGTGGCAAGTTAGGTTCTCGAATAGGATGTAGATCCAACAGCCTAACTCCTGTGTAGGTTTTTAATTTCCTACTGTAATCAATGGGAAGCTGGACTTGAACTCACTACTGCTGCCGTAGATAGGGAATTGCTATACAGATACCAGGGAAATTCTTTTGGATTTGCAAAGGTGCAATTAAGCTCAGAATCAGTTCCTAAATATTGAAAATTGATTTATTAGGAGAGAAAATATTGGTAAAAAGAGACTAAATGCCAATTGAAACTAGTGATTATACTTTCCTTCCTTTCTGCATGAGAAAGCATTTCTTTTCTTCTTTTTTCCAGCTAAACAGTATTGCAAAGCTGAATAAATATGCACAACTTTTGCCTCTGCCTGACTCTTGTGAAGATATCAAACCTGGCACAAAGTGCAAGGTGGCCGGCTGGGGAGTCACATCTTCAGAAAAGCCATCAACATGTCTTCAGGAAACAATTCTTAAAATTGTTGATAGAAAAAGCTGCAAGAGCAAATATAGAAAATACATGAAAATAACCAGCAACATGTTGTGTGCTGGAGGGCAAAATAAATTTTTCAGTGAGAGATGCTTGCAAGGTAAGAAGCAAAGTTACAAAGAGGAGGGGATGTGCTTTTAACAATGGTTCCCTTTTCACTGGGAACAAAGTAGACACTTAATGAGGCTGACCAGATTCACAGCGATTTTAACCACATTTGTAAGAGACTTTATTGTTGTGAAAAAGAAGTGTTAAAACTTTGAGTAGTTTAGGTCAATGTACACAAGAAGATCCAGAGTATGGGAATTTGAGTCTGGGATTATCTCAGTTAACTTCAGGTGCATTTCTTCAGCTAAAGTGCTCTCCTTAGGCACCACTTGTAGTTATCAGAGACAGAGAAGAACTTTCAGGGTCTAAATCATCTGATCCTTTCCAGATGTCAACATCTGAATAGTACAGAATTAACTGTACACTCAAAAGTGCTGCTGTTTGAATCTTGTTTTTGATGTCTTCTGTGCTGAGTCCAGAAGGGCCAATTGCTTAAAGAAATGAGAATCAATTTATACCAACAATAAAAACATACCTTTGGAAATAGAATTATGATAGCACTGTGTTGGTCTACAACATTTACATCAGAGGCTCCCTCAGGCTTTACAAGCAACCTCTCCTTATACCTCACCCAACTCCCATGAAGTGATGTATGCCAACTGATCCATTTCATAGGTTTGAACAGGTCAGAAGCAACATTTCCAAACATGCTTATGCACTGCAGGTTGCACTGCATGCTCCTCTGGAGAGCAACGAACCTACATTGATAGTTATTTCTATTTTGTGTTTTAGAGAGACTCAGGTGGGCCGTTAATCTGTGCCAGTTGATACAGTGGGATCGTTTCTTTTGGAAAAAGATATGGAATAAGAGACATGCCTGGAGTTTATACATGACTGACTGAAAAATATATTGACTGGATAAAAAAAATAATTTCCTTTCACAGAGATCCATGAGACAGGAAAGACAATTTTAATAAATACTGTGCTATGCATTAGAACTAGATGCTGCTGCATTAGTGTGCCACCTTTAGAAAGTATCTCTCAGCTTTACAACTTTACTAACATCACCACACCTTTATGAGAACAGTTCAAAATATTCCCCTTTGTACAGATAACATGTTTACTCATCTTTAGTAGGAAACTGCCTCTTAGATAACACAATTTGTATTGGACTTCACCCTACTTTTTAGTGTGATGGGAAAGTACTGCTCACCTTATTCATTGTGCCTGGGATGAGGCAACATTTTTGAATGTGTACTCACAGAAAAATTCAGTTTCAGACTGATAGTAAATGAGATGTCTGCTGAAAGAGAAAAACCAGGAAAAAAGCTTTAAATGTTCAAATATTTCATTTTTACATTTTTCAAAACCAAATACTTCAATTTTCATTACTAAATATTTATTTAACTAAATTCATTTTCAGAAAGTTAAAATATTAAACAGATAAACATTTTTCCAATTATCTTCCATTTTTTTTCCCTAGATTACTTTCCCTAGTTTTTTTGTGTGATCAAATCAACAAAATCATCTCTTCTCACAGCTTGGTTCATGATATCACCCTTTCAATGAATGGTCTGTTGAAAAAAGTATAAATATTGATTGTGTAAGGGATGAGCCCCTGTAATGTGAGCCCAGACCATGCCTTGAGAGAAAGGTCCAGGAAACAGAGTCAAGTTATGGGGAGGGGCCTGGTGTCACTTCTCTTGACTGACAGATGCCTCAACCACTCCTGGAACTGGGCCGAGAGAAGGTTCCAGGGACTGGGGCTGGACCCTATAAATAGGGGCCCACTGGCTTACTTGCTTTCTTTTTCCACGTGGAGCACCCTCGTTGGCAGGTCCGATGCTGGAACCAGGACTGGTGATATCCATCTCTCCCCTCTTGTTGCCTTACCCCAGTTTAAAGTCGGTGTTTATATAAAGCCATATAGCTTGTGAGAGTGCCTTATTAGATATAATTATTAAAAGGGTCAACATATATTTTAACATTGTAAGACTTAAAGAGACTGTAATTTGCTGTCGGGTCGTGCATCAAATAATTTGTGTGTTTACTGCTTGGACCTTGTGTGTCATTTCACCTTAACCCAGTCTCAAAGAATCTGCAAATCGGTTCCTTTCTAGTTTACTAAGACAGAACAGATTGTAATGGGAGTAATTATACTTCTCTAATACACTGCCTATCTAACATCTATCAAAACAAACAGGAATTTTGCTATGGATTTCAACAGACTTCTACTAACAGAAGTACCTGTTGTGTTTCTGAAGAAGCCTGTGGTTAGCTTGTTGTATTCCCGTTATCTTCCAAATATTCTCGAGGTCTTTTTTTGCCAACAGTTTGGAAGTGACCATCTGCAGGGTTTCTCTGCTTATTTGGTTATTGCATTAATATGTACTGAATACTGTAAACTTTGGGACGTTGCAGAGGTATGAATAAATAACTCCAACACATCAACCTTGATTATTGACCCCCAGCCATATCGCTGTGCTGAGCAGAGCAAAGCACTGTCTTATAAAGGCTATGCAGATAAAGGAGCAAACGGACATTGCAAAACCGTGTTGGTAATCTGTCATGGTTAATCTGTCATAAACCTGCCTATATGGTTTATGGGGGCTTGATCAAATTCTCACTGAAGGTCATGGAACAATCTTAAAAGATGCCAGTGAGAATTGGCTCAGGCCTGGAACACAGACAGAAATTGAAAAAAACTGGGGAAGAAAAAGGAAAACTATATAAAAGTGGAAAGAATAATATACTGCTGTTAACACTTTTCAGCTGGTCGTTTCAGAGAACGTTGCAAACAGAAATTAGTCCCTTTTACCTTTGTAAGGTAAATGACAGCAAGGATATCCTTCTTCCTATACCACAAGAGACTTTTCACACCCCGCAGCCCAATGACATTGGTGTTTAACCTCTCAAAGGCAAAGATTTCACTCACTGTTCATGCTGAGCAGTAGCTGTATCTCAGTCACTGATGGTGATACAGTCTGGAAACCATAACCCAGCAGGTTAATTACAGTTTAAATATTAGGCTGTGTGTGTGTGATCTCCTGTAATGTCGTTACTTCATTTACAGCATTTTTTTTTTCTTTTATGGGCAATGTAGCAGGTGGAAGGGCATTACTGCTAGGCCCCCAGGGCACCACCAGGCCTGACTGTCCCTGCCCAGCCCCCTGGGACTCCCCCACTCTGCACAGGCAGAAATGGGAAAAATTCAGTCATTTCTGGCTAGGATTTTGGTCCTCCGGTACTTACTACTTAGGTCATTAAACTAATTATATGTGCAAAACTACTAAGCTCTTGGGCAGTGGAGGGAAACAAGCAAAAATTGCACACCCAAAAAGACATTGAAAATGGTAATAGTCTCAGGAGATTTTTTTTTTATACGCTATTTCTCTCTGGTTGTGCTTACAGGGTGCACTATAAGGACTATCATGATTTAAGAAATCCTGATGTCTATAACTGTTCTCCATTTTACATTAAGGGATTGCTCTCAGACCAGTGGAGTTTTTCATTTGACATGACACTCCTTAAGTGTCTGCTGTGGGGATGCACAGGATAAGCCAATATAACCTAGTGAGAGGGATATCTGCACTAAAGGGATATTGTTACACTGCAGTCTACAGTACATGTTGATGGTTGCAATTTGGAGGTTACTGTCTGCTCTCCAGGCGAAACTCCCTAGCTGGTATCTGTATCCATGTACATTCCCTGTGAGTTGCTGTATGAGGATTGGGGACTGGCAGTACATGTACACCTGGGTTCTAGATGCATACACACACATGGCCACACACACATAATATCAGACCTTGTCTTCCTTGCAGTAAACAGGTTGCTTTTGTAACACAGAGAAATGCCTGCATGCTCATGATTGCATGTACATGCATAGATCAGTGCCTTGTCTTTTTGTATAACAGGCACATGGTTGAATGTTCACATCCAGCAGTACTTGCATCCAGTATTCACAAACATCCATCAATCTGGTTCTTGAAACTGAATGTAACTGTATAAAAGCTTTGTGGGCAGTCAACCCACCCAAGAAAACCCAAGGTGATAAACCTCTCCTTTGTGATAGTAGCTGAAATCCCTGTGTCTTGAGAGAGTGCCTGCTCATCATCCCCTCTGGGTGACGGGTAGTCTGGGCCAGGGAGTGTGGTAGGAATTTTGCAGCAAGGCTGCAAAATGCCCTGCAATTCTGCATTTTATTAGCAACCGTGAAAGCACATGGTGGAAGGATGACCGGTTCTGCAGCTGGGGGTAGGTGAAGGTCCAGGAAAGGGTGAGTGTTGGCTAAACAAGGTAACCACTAGTGTCACTCACTGCTGAAACTACTGCTGGGCTGGTTCTCAGAACTGAGCTGAAAACAGGAAAGCCACAGAAAGTAGCTCCAGGTACGTTACAGTTTTACAATAACAGACACTCACAGAGCTCTGGCAAAATTAAGCTAGAAATGCATTCTTATAAGACTGAGAGGAGCTTGTATTCAGCAGCTTGTGGTGGAGTTTACTATAGGTTTCAGTTGTTTTCAGCACAGCATTTGAGATTCCACTTTCCTTCAGTAGGAGAAATCTAGTCTTGTCTCTCTTAACCTGTCCCACCTCAACAGAAATCTCTAGGTGCCTGTGAGGTGTCCCCTTTCACATTACTTCACAATTTCCAAATACTGGCTTCTTGTACCAGACCAGCTCCCCCATACTATCTGTTTTTATCTTTACCAGAAATTTCTGAGTGGATTAAAGGAATACTGCCCTGGGAATCCTTCTGCCCTTGGCCAGGGCTGGGCTCCTATCTATGCTTGCACTTTGCAGCTTGGTCTCTGCTGAGCTGACATCTTTGTCAGACATTTGCAACTATTTCTGGTTTTACTGAGGTCTTCCAGTTAAGCAATATTTCTTAAGGAGTATGCACTGAGGAGTCTGACTTGTTGCTCGTAGCTCGTAGCCTGTCACATAGTCATATTCAGGCATAGAGAACAGCCCATAAGGTTGACCAGGCCATGCACTGACAAGACATATGGCACTGACATGCGATGTATGGTGCTGATGTACGGCTGATGTCTCTCTATCCAATAGAAGGGGCTGACAACTCACGTTCACACATCACGCAGGGACGCAGATGCCAGTTAGCTTTACTCCTTATGTTCGTTCTGCCACCTCGCCCTTGTACTGGGCAGTAGTGACTGATGTTTTGTACTTGTTTTGGCTGTACATCTAATGTACTGTATGTTCAATGTGGGAGTCTTTTTTTTTTTTTTTTTTTAAAAAA